GTTTCAAGGCGCAAGAGCCACATGAATCCTTCACTAGGTGAGGAAATGTTGTCATTGATCCTAATCTATACGCAGGACAAATGGAAAGAATGATGAGCAGTGGACGCAAGTTGAGTAGGTTCGACGCTAAACGAAGGGGTTGGACGCTAAAACTTGAGTTGGTGAAGTTACTGGGACCATGACATCTGAATATTGAAGGTTGATGGCCTAAAAACCGTGACTTTGTACACCTCATGAATGGCGGTGCTCCGACCGCTTTTCAATGCTTTTTGAACCCTTTTCCAGAAATACTTGGACGATTACACGGATTCTGATTCAATCATGTTCAAAAGGGGCCTTGCTACTCAAAGGCACTGGGGATTGCAACAGCCATTCTTCCAATCGTCTTTACCAAAGAACAATTTTGTGCCATTTTGTTATTTAATATTTGAAAGGCTAGGGCTAGGGATGTTCTTAGAAGAAATCAGACTTGACTGGTCCGAGGTCCGCTGGTTGGTACTTGGAAGGAGGCATGCCCACGATTGGTCATGGACGAATTCCTACAGCATGAGGTGCACATCTGACCGGTGTCGTATCAGTCTTGGTATCATAAAATGGTGTCCGTCCACAGTTTCCTCTTCGCCAACAGAGGATTCACTCAGACGGTAAAAATTCCCCCGTTAGCAATCACTTACCGCCAGAGCCTTTGAGCTGAGCTACTGCTTGCGCGCCACGGCTCACCGCCGGCAGAACAGCGGCGCACAACGCGTACGCGCCACAAGCAGCGCGAGCACCACGAACTTGGGCGAATGGTGCCGCTTTGGGCTTCAGGGGCACTGGCCTGGCGTAGCAGGTCTTTGCAGCAGAGCGGAATTGGCAGAACACTTGGCCTGGGGACAGGGGGTCCAAGCGGTGGAACCTACAAAATGTCCTTTAAAAAAAGCAACAAGCGCTTCCAATCACTCCTCCCAAAGAGAAAAGCTATCAGCCATGTCAGCATATGTCAGCCATGTAGCCCATGACCGGAAGAGCCGGGCCTCTGTGCTACCAAGCTGGGCCCCAGGAGTCCAGTCGCACCGGCAGAAAACACAGAGCTGGACACCAAGGACTGGGACATCTAGTTACCTCAAACATCCACAATCATGGATCACCATCATTGATCCTCAAACATCTTGGCAGATCTGAGCACCCCTCAAAGCCTCAACTCTCCGTGGTGGACCATCGGAGAGAAGGAACAAACCATGAACACATGAAAGCCTAGGCCTAGAGTCCTAGATGCACCCTCGACCCACCGCACTTCAAATGGAATGAAACAGAGATTCCATGTATAGAGATTCCTTCATAAGTTACAGAAGGTCAACTAAGGGATCTGAAACAAAACACACTCGCATGCACCGTGTCTGCTGTGTCTGCGCACCCGTTTGCCATCAACAAGTCCGGAGTGGCCACTAAGTCGGCCGACGACCAGATGCCTCCAGGCCAGCACAGCACGTGGCTGGTCGAGTCCTGCCAGGTGTGGCCTCCTCCCAACAGAGGTGAGGCCTTTTTGGACCCTACCTCCGGATACCTCACCTGAAGTACCTGACTGGGACAGTCGATACATCAGGTTCTTCTAGGAGCTGTCAGAAAGCTGAGACGGTCCACACCGCCCAGCCCCTCGCCATACTCTCACGGCGTCCGCGCCGCGCCGGGGAGGAAAACATGTCTCTTCCTCATCAGGACTGAGGAGCAACTGAGGATCAATCCTCATGTCCACTTCCAAAAGCTCCCACCCAGTTTGGGCTGCTTCACACCATGCCTCCCGGAGAAGAAAAAGAAACGCCGAAAAGACATGCCCCGAAACCTTTTTGAGCTCCTTTCTCCCGCCCAAGGCCGCCCAGTCGGTGAACCGGCTCCGACCGGGCTCCTGGGACCAGGACGCCACTCCGCTGGAGCTCCATGGACGGGGGCTGCGGCCGCGCAGGGCGGCAAAAGCGACGAAAAGGATGGCTGAGCTTCTTGCTCCGTTCGTAGCCATGCCCTTTTAGGTTCGTAGCTTCTTGTTACTAGTAATGATGCCAGGAGCTACTAGTAGCTTCTTGCTACTGAAGAGCTTAGAACGGTGGTTCTCTCAGTTCCATCATGTTCCATCGCTGCTTCTTTGAACATCATAATATGTGATATGGAGAGCCTTAATGATCTAGGCCCCACCGCGTTTTGCGGTAGAGCCACTCCAGCTGACCCGCAAGGGATGAGTCGCCAAAACTGATGTGTCATGTGGTTCCCTTTCGAAAAGATTATTGTTGTGGCATGTGCCCTGGTGTATCATTCATCCTCTTCCTCCAGTTTGCGGCGAGGCACCGGCCCGGCTCGGCTGAGAGGAGTCGGCGGCCAAGGCAGTGGCGAAGAGACGGCGCGATCAACGGGGTGGTGTGGCGTGGTGGTGCCACCTAGACCTAAACCGCCAAAACCCAGACACAACCAATGGGTGGCCACACATTCACGCCAGGTCAACCAACTGAATGTAGGAATGTAAAAAGATTCTACTGACCAGAACTTTTGGGGGTGAGCTTTTCCAAAAGGTTGGGCGCATAGATGCAAGGTACAATGCTATTTGATAAGTTTCATGGCCGCTCCCTCAGCAAAAGCTCGCTAGTTATAGAGGTTGAATGCAAGCTGCAAGGTACCGTGCAAAGTCCTCAGGCAAAAAATGCCATTCCATTGAAGTTGTTCACAAAGGGGGAGACTTGATGGCCTTTGCAGGAAAGACTTGCTGGCCTTTGCACATGATCTCTTTGGGGAAGAAGAGGCGGGGGGCCGGTTTGCTACCCAATGAGCCTATCGGCTGTGCACAACCTGGGGGACGACCCTCCAGGTCGTGAACCTGACACTTCCACCCACCCAACCACAGGGCCATTGCTCCGGTTCGGTGGATCGCACTTGGCCTGAGTGGATCGCACCATCCAACAGCGTGATGTACATAGGTATCCCAATTTCATAAAGCTGAGGCCCAAAAACGGAGGACTGCACTCCCTGAAATGATCATGGTCATGCGTGGAGTGGGGTTTCCACCTGTTTGGTCTTCGGAATGTGATCCTCCGCAATCGGAGGCCCATCCACCTCCGCTCCGGGGAGTGCGGAGAAGGATTTTAGATGGCGCCATGCCCCCAGTTCCGTGACTTATATGGCATGGGTTTTGTCAAGACTCTTGGCTCAAATCCTGAGTGATGATTTATATAAGGATGGGCCATCAACAGTCGGCTGGGGATTTGAGCCATTCGAGTTCTTATCGGGGGGTGTACTGTAATTACTTGATTTCCTCCAGTTTAATCCTACCAATCTCTCGATCTTCAACGCTCCAAGTTGTCTCCAAGTTGTATTCTCCAGGCTTCATCCCAACGCCTACCACTCCAGCCAGCACCGCTCTCCCACCCAACCGGAGCACGTCGCCCGAGGGCGCCCGCGTGACCACGGACGCCGCCCACCTTTTCTGCACATGAAAGGTCGGAGTTGAATCATTGCCCCCGGCTGAATGAGGCAGGCGGCTTGCGCTGGTCTTTCTGCGCCTGTCTCACCTGGACCTAGGGGGCCCCAGTTTGGCCTAGAGAGCCCCGGCGGGCCGAGAAAGGAGAGACGTGACGTGGAGACTGGGGTGGATTGAATGGAGAGTCATCTTGGTCAAGTCAAGTGGCTGCTGGTCTGGAGAAACCGTAGAGCGAAAAGGACTTCCATGGACTTCCAATAGCTGTTGGAAGGGGATTCAGACTCATTTTTTACCACTGACTGGTCTAAGTCTAAGGTTATATTGTGTTGGAGTGATGTAGGGGGGATTTCCTACAGGATGTGGGCTGCGAGGAGTTGCTCGTACTGCTGCTCGTCACCAGTTCAGTGGCTCAGGCAAGCTCCACCGGACCAGGAGCAACCAAATGAAACAGTACTTCATCTTAAACCAGAATTGCTTTTAGAAACAAACATTGCAAACCTACAATCGGCACTATATAGTGAACATTTTGGCAAACTTGCAATCAACTGAGATGATGTCAGATGACAGCTCAAACACTTGTTTTTCAGGAAGCCCCACGCCATCTCTGCCCTTTTGTCGACCTTTTGGATCCTTCGCTCCACTGACTGACAGTGGAGCAGTGCACACAGCTCTCGACGAAGGGGTCGGAACCAGGGCGCCGTTTTCGTCCGCAAATCCGGTGGCGGTGAAGGAGGTGGCCGTTAGCCCGGCATGGAACTCAAGGTCTTCTGGAATGATCCTGAAAGAACTCCACTCCAGATTACCCAAATTGGCTGACTGGACACAAAGACACAATCACCACCCAGGGGAGCACGTAAATGGTACAAACCCGCTGTCCAGTTGATCTTGCATCATGCAGCCCATCGCTATGAACAAACGTCTGTCACAGAAAAACAATGATGAACCCCCACATGTTCGACACAAAGGACTCAAAGGACCTTATAAATGTGACATTGGATGCTGGGATCACCACGTCAAAAAATGGGGCAGCACCATCACCAATGGTGCAGCCGAACCTTTCTTGCGAACCTTTCTTGCGGGGGTTTGGGCCGAACAATCCGTGCAGGACCTGCGAACCTTTGCTTGAGGAAAAAAGAAAACAATCCTAGCACTTCCGTAGACCTGGGTGCCCTGGAGTAGGAGGCCTAGGATTTGTTAGGACACCCTGTTTCAGGGTGATCCTGGATCATATTTTCCAGAAGGGGATTGACCCATAGGGATCCTTCTTGTTAACACACGATCGGCCAAAACCCTGTACCTTTGGATCTGGTCTGTGCGGGATTCCTTCGATGCCTCCTTCTCCATGCTGACTAGATGCTGTACAAAGGCCAACGGTGCGCGGGGTTCCTGCGCGCCGAGCCCTGGCAGTCGAATGCAGCCTGTGATCGAATGTCGATCCATCCAGGTTGACACTTGGAGCTCGCGCGCAGAAAAGGCACCTGCCGATTCTGGTCAACATGTACCGAAAACGCACATGGAGCAATGGGCTCGTTGAGTGCTGTGATGGTTGTGCTTTGCTGCCGTAGTGTGGCCTCTCCACGTGCAAATCGTCTCTTCACTTCTCCTCTTTCTTCTCCTCCGCCTTCTCTTCCTTCCTCTCTTCGGTCTTTTCCTCCGCCTTCTCTTCCGCCTTCTCCTCCGTCTTCTCCTTTGCTGCGACATGCTGGCACCATTCCCAAAGCAAAGGCCCAATCCCCTTGTTTCAACTGGCAGTTGAGCGCAAGCGCTCCCGCCAACGATCCTTGCAATCACATGGTGGAGGAAAATGGGCCCCTGGGTGGCCCCCGCTCTGAGACCTGGCTACTGCATTAGGCGAAGGAAAACCCTGCTGGGCTGGTAAGCCCGAAACCGGGAAGACCATTCAAGCGAGGTTGATCTGGCTTTGGAGTTCAAATCCTCAGCTCAAGCTGAGAAAAAAAATGTTGGGCACCGAATCCTGGGGTATAAATATCACAACGCACTGCTTGAGTGTTTCGGGAAGGTCGTCTTGGGAGGAGGACCTAGGGGAACTGCGTACACTCCCTGAAGCAATGATGGAACAGTTCGGCCGCTGGAAGACTTTTTTCCTCAATGAGGCGATGTGGTCAGCTTTCATGATTGGAAGGAGAATTAGTGACGCTTGGACCGATGGAGCTCTCCTCCTTCTTCTTGGGCTCCTCCTTCTTGGCTCCTGCCGCTCCGAGACGACGAGCCTCCCGGGGACGAAGGGGGGGAGGTCCACCTTGACCAGATCAGACGTCACACAGTCCCTGGAATCACCCAGAGACCTGTCTGGGACTGGCAGAGGTACATTGGGGCCAGGTCCTATCCCAGACACGACCCATAAGACTCATACTGGGACTCAGGTCCTATCCCAGACACAGGGGTGGTGCCAGGGGGGTCAATGGGGCGGCATAGATTCCAGTCCCATGGAGTGTCTGGGTATGGGACCTTGGTCTTCGGATTTGGTCCTCCGACCTTTTTCGGCCGTGCCGTCCACTTCCGTGGAGCGTGGTTTCCGCAGCTGAACCATGGACCGGTCTCCTTTCTGAGGAGTGGGTGGATTGTGTTCTCACACCTCCGGCATGAATCAGTTCCCTTTGCCAGATGGTCTCCAGGTGTTGGAGAACGGAGGTCTTTCGTGATCGTCCCTCGCTAAGAATCCGGGCCCGAACCAATGGGAAAGGCTTTGGTTCAGGTCTGGAACCCTTCCCTTTTGGTGGAGAAGGTCCAATCCATGCCTCGAACAGTCCAAGGATTCCTAGGGCAAGGTAGGGCTACAACTCCCTGTAGCCTTGGTTCCCTGTTCAATGGGGAATATGGATAATTCGGGTGACCCTTATATAGGCGGTCCCTCCTGAGCAAAAACTAAAATAGGTCCCACCCCCAGCGAGATCCCAACGTGCACGCCTGCTTTGGCCTGAGGCTTCTTATCACCTGCCGGGTGGCACAGGACCCCAACGTTGGACCCCAACCTTGCTGTACATCTGGAGGCATCGCATCACAAACGTGTGACTGGCACGTTGTTCATCCAGGGCTCCTGTCTGGGTGTCCTGTCTGGAGGTCCAGTCTAGCAGTGTAGGGTAATGTAGGGTAGTCTATTGGCGACCCGGAACGGATGATCTAGGTATGCATCTTTAACTTCAACATTAATGACAGTACCCAGACACTCCGTGTATATCGTATATATGCCCTGACCCTTGAAACCACCCCAACGATCCCCAAGGTAGACATACAGCATTCGATCCTCTTCCGAAGACCAACCCCCGGTGGATTTGGGGGTTCCATGTGGTCCGAGTAGCAGGGGAGTAACAACATCGATATCATTTCCAACGCATGGTACGGCTAGCTTGTTGACACAGCCGCGCTTCAATCTGGACCGCTTTCGGGATCAAGAAGAGCCACCAACGGACGCCGTCTGACGGTCCAAAATGCAGCACGCTGAGAGTCCAAAACCAGTTTCTAAGATGGTTGTTGGCTTGCTTTTGTAGATGTTGTGTAGTGCAAAACCCACAGTAAGAACAATGGCTGTTCGGGAGAAGGCCCATCTAAAAAGCAAAGTGGTTGTTCGGCTTCTACCAAGGAATTATATAGAAGCGCTTCAATCTCCCAAGCTCACCCACCTGCCCCTGGCCTGTCTTCTCTTCGGGCTGCACATACGGCGGGTTCGCCTCCACGGCGTCTAAGCACTTTTTCGCCGAGAAGTCCTCCTGAACGTGCTGGGCCGGTGATGGGGTCCAGACCGGATGGCAGACCCCCTGCCATGGCCAGGTCATGTAGATTCTTGATTGTATATGCCACCGGCCCCAGATGAAGAGGATGTCCAATTCAAATGGGGTGCGTTACAAAATGTAACAAGGGGGGTGCGTGGATGCGCGCCTGACACAGACAGTCCGCAAGTCCGTTCATTCAAATGGGGTGGGTTTATGAATCAAGGAGTCTACTTGAGAGGCGGGGAACGAAAGCCGACGAATGTGAGAGCACCTAAAAAATCCCCTGGGGATGATATTTGTGATATCGTCACTGCGCAGGCGCAGCGTTTTGTGAGATGGTGAGTTTTCTGCGCACTCACATTTGGTGGATTGGCATTTGGAGGGTAATCCAAGCAACACAAGTCCGAATCAAGGCAACACAAGTTCTTTTGCGCTGAAGCCTGTGCCACCAAAGTCTAGACTCTAGACAAGCTCGCCCTTTTGGCCCGTCTGGCACTTTCTTCATCCTTGGCGCTCTCTGCCCAGGCTGGCTTGTACGAAAAAGCGAGCCCCTGGCCCAGGCCTTCCACCAAGCCGTCCACTCGTTCGCCTTTGTGGGTCTCGTTCCAGCTGACCATTCCAGTTTCTGCTTCTCTGACGTAGCCAGGGGGACCACCCCAGACTGGCACAGGCTGGGACACCCATGTGTAGAATTGCTACTAATAAGGAGTTGCCAGAAAAAGGACACACCAGCCCAGTGCAACACAAATGTATAGAATTGTTACTAACGAGTTGCCAGAATGCGGACACACCAGCTCGGACTGGGGTCTCCCAATGTGTAAAAATGCCCCCCAAAAAAAGGGCGTTGGCAGATGTTGGCAGCGGACACAGCAGCCCAGACTGGGAGCAAATGTAAAGAATGGTCAGTGACCAGTTGCTGAGGAAGCAGACCCACCACTCCACCCTAGCTTCACGTCGCCACAGGTGCGTGGCCAGTTTGCGCACCGGAGACCAATGTGACTTGCCACAACAAGCGGGTTGCCAGAGGGCGGGCGTACCAGCCGAGATTGGGGAGACTTGTATGCATGGAATTGCTACTAAGAAGGCGGATGTGAATCATCCAGTGGGGCGATGTGTATGTATACCATTGCTATTGAGGAATTGCCAGAAGATTGGGAAGACAAATGTAAAGAATTGCTCAAGGAGTTGCCAGAAGCCAGCCCAGACTGGGAGACAAATGTACAGAATTGCTACTAAGGAGTTGCCGGAAGGCAAACACACCAGCCCAGAATGGGGCGGACACACTAAACGCCTTGAGAGAAACTGTTTGGAGAAAAAGAGCTAGGGCCAGCTAGGGGAATTCAAAGGGTGACTAGTACACTTAATAGTGCACCCTCGCTGAAGCTGAATTCCTTTATGGCACCCTCTGGTTGCCCTTCGGATGTTGTTTATTGAAGTTTAAATTGATGTTCTAAAGGCAGCACGGCCTGGTTGTAGAGTAGAATGGCCATCCAAGGCATTCTGCACTCCTCACCAAAGTCAACAAGCGTGGTAGCTTTCAGAACCCTGGTCACTACGGTACTCTGGGTCTCTCCACGCGGATATCGTCATGCTTTTTGAACTCCCGGAGTGACGTGCGGGCGCCTCCCATCTTCATCTCGTTCCCCACCAGGATCAGTTGGACCTCATCCTACTGGAACTGACCTGGCCTTTTGGGGACCTACCCTAAGACGTCTGGGCTCTCCAAAACGGGCGTAAGACTCAAGGGCGCCCCCAAACCCGGTCTGTGTGGAGGTATTTACCCAGACACTCCATGTATGCCATATATGCCTACATTGACCCCCAAAACCACCCCAACTGATCGGCATATATGACAAACATGGAGTGTCTGGGTTATGTCTTTTTTCGGCTTCCAATCCCGCTAACCCAAGCCGTCCCAGGATCGGTCGAGGTTCGCTACGTGGCACGGATGGTCCGCGCTCACCCTGACCCCGCCGCGCAGCCTCCGTGCCATCGTCCCTGATCATGTAGAAGCAGCCTCAGCGCGGTCGTTCCGACCACAGGCGGGAACGAAGGGACCAAGAGAGGAAGCCCTTCATTGGTAGATTGAACTAGTATAAATCCAGGACCTTCTCCACCGTCGGGGTGCCCTGTCTGGAAGCCGAACGGCCGGTGCGGTAGATCGTGTGGGGTAGTCCAGCCAGGACACCCCCGAAGGTCGGAGGGTCCAGGTATCAACATATGATATATTGAACTAGGACAATTGTAATTGTATAAAATGCATGCACAAAAAATCTTAGTGAAGTAAGGATTGTTCGGGAAAGCCATGTAAAGTCCACAAAACTAATGATTGGAATCACGGTTAAACATCCCAAAAGGGACCCGCGGATGATGGTGGCCGTTCCAACAATTCTGGGCTTGCGTATGTTCAATCAACTCGTAGACTTTGCATGACGCCCACTCAGTAACAACAAATTGAAGGCATGTGAGTTCTTTCCAAAAACGGTGCCCCCCTTTTGATGCTTCTCACTCCCGCCGCCCGCTCGTCCCAGTCACTGCCCTCCGAGTGGCGGCTATCGCCCTGTTGACTTCGGGCGACCTTGATGCCGACCAAGCCCTTGCTCTTCCCTGCAGGTCCGCGACGCCCCGGAAGAAGGATCGAACGCGTAACGCGAAGGCTCTGCGTGACCCAATAGCAATGGCCTCCTGGCCCACCTCCGGTGACTGGTGGGCCAGGAATGGGTCTGGGGGGTCTAACTACATTCTGAGGTAGGCCAAGAGCCCTAGGGAATAGCAATGGCCTCCACCTAGTAGCTTCATGTGGCTTCTAGTTACTAGAACGCTTTCTTGTTACTAGTCCCCCCTGTGGGGCCGGGCCAAAGGTCAGCTGAATGCGTGGCTTTCGTGGATCAAAGGTCTCCCAAACGCATGGGACAGCAGTCGAACCTCGCCGCCCCATGACCCATAACTGGTGGTTTTAGATCATTTTTACGCTACACCATGCCACACCATGGATCCACTGGGTATATATTACTGTATATACCCTAGGGCTCCAACCACATCCCCAGAAGGTGGTTAGACCCCCCTGGCACCCACCCCAACCATCGAACCTCAGGAGGTAGGCTAGGAGCCCTAGGGATAACTGTCTACACGCCTTGAATATACGTGGATGCCATGGCCCCAATTGATTGGTCTGAGGGTGCTCTTCATTCACTCCAGGTCACCGTGATTCCAGGGAAAAGCGTGACGCTCTGAAATCAGAAGTTCCCAGAAATGGTTGAAGGGAACACCTAGTACCCTAAGGATCCTCGGACCCGACACCTTCGCAGGGGTCGAACCCTCGTTTTGGTAGGGGTCGTCGAACGGGCTCCCTCAACATCCTTGGGTTTTTAGGGTCCGGATCCTTAGGGTTCACAAATCATGGTTTTCAATGGTTTTCAATGGTTTTCAAGTGTCACATCTGCAGTGACGGAAGGTGTCGACTTGCCTGGGCTGGGGTGGAACTCCAAGAGGCTCTTGATGAGCTTGAAATCGCCTCGGCAACAGGTGCCGGGTTTGGGAATGGCTGGGCTTGGCACAGGGAAACAATAACATCATATATGAAGACCCTCCAAGGGGTGCCCAATGGAAGCCTATAGGTAGTGTGGGGTAGTCCATTGGACACCCTTTGGAGGGTCCAGGTATGAAGACCTCGTTCAATTCAAGGGGAGAGGTTGGGGTAAGCAGTTTCTAAGGGGTTGGAGTCAGTTGGAGTCTACAACATCATTGATTCATGGTTGGGGTTCCTACATTTCCCTAACAGTCCGTGGGAGTCGATGAAAAAAATAGCTCCGATCTTTGTGAATCCCAGCATTGTTTAAATGCTTCTTACTAAGGATGTCAGGCTACAACATCAGGTCAACCTTTTCTTAATGGTCGAAAGGAAGGCTTGGGCCTAGGGTGATCTTTCAGCTGGCATTGCACTCTTGCATGCACCCCCACCGAACATCGAAAAGAACCTCCCTGAAAATCCCACGCACCGTGCGAATCCTGCGCCACCATGGTGCCTCGCGTGCGGAGCACCGCCCCGCCGGCCATGGCACCGTGCGGCTTCCGACGGAGCACCTCCCGTCGTGCGCGGTCCACGCCGAGCGGCTGCCGTCGGGCTTCAGCTGTTCTCCGTCGGTGCGGGAGTTCAGAATCTCCTGACGTCGGGGCGGAGGTCCGGGCGGGCCCGGTCCGACCCGACCAGATCTCCGGTGCGAAGCGAAGTGCAGAGATCGGTCGACCGGTGGTACACGAACTGGTGGTTTTTGGCATCCCTTCGCGAAGACCAAACCAACCGTATATGTAGAAAAAGCCCATCTGGTATGATGGCGGAATTGACATGGAGGACACACTAAAAGGACATCATTGAATCCAGCACCACAGAAAGGTCAGGGGTGTCTATAAACCATCCTTTTCGGTGGTGCTGGATGATGTTCAGTGCATGGGTTGAGCATCCTTGTTTTGGTTGGTTTATACGTCCGACCTTGGGCCCGATGCCAGGTACCATAGAATACCAATTGGTTCTACGCGACCAGGGGTATCCCTCTCTATGAACCAACCAACCAACCAATACCAAAAGGCCATCTATATATCATCTATGGCTTTGTAACCACCCGGCACAACGGATTGGACTGCTTGCAAAACAGGGCCCGAGGATAATTCTTCACCTCTATTTCAATGATCTTGGGAGGCTTTTCCGAGCACATAAAATCGATCACAATTGCCACCAAGTTGATGTCAGGGATGTCAGTGATGTCAGTGAACAAAAATACGACCGACTGAAACGCTGATATTGGGCACCTTCCGAACTCTGCCTTTGCATGAACTTACCAAAATTGGAGACAAGAGTCTACACTGGCCCTGCGACGACCTGGTCCCAAACGTGTGACGAGCTGGTCCCAAACAGGTTCAGTCTGACCTGGGCGATCGCCTATAGGGATATGAAATGACTATAACAACTATACCAACAGTTCCATTCTTTCGGGTCCCAGATGGTCCCAGGTGCCGAACGGAGACTCAACCTCACCCTTCTCTGGAGCCTCTCGACAGCACGGATCCATGGGACGGAACAGCACTGACCGCCCCAGTCGACTGGTGGAATGGAATGAATCCCGTTTGGGCTCCTGGCCCGGCCCACCGAACCGTAACTCGGTTCAGTGGGCCAGGGGTGGAGTTCCGTGCCGGTCGAAGACCACCGGTCAGTGGGGTCGGAGATGGGCCGGGCCAGGAGCCCTAGCTGCCCTAGCTCTCGGACTGCTGTCCCATGGATCGTGGGGTCCTGGTAAGTCGACTTACACTTTCACTGACCCAGTGGATGGCACGTTCGCAGTTCGCACTATCTGGTGAGTCTTCCAGCAAGAAAAACCGTCCGCGGCCAAGACTGGGTTCTTTTCGAAGTGAGGTCGTTCAAAAACGGAGCATGCGAATACGAAGCTTCTGGCATGGGAGGGGTTTGATACTCTCGCAAGTCTCCATCCACCTGACCATCCACGGGACTGAAATAATTACAGTTATAAAAGACTATAAAAAGAATGGTCTTTAGGTGACCCGAAAAGGAATATCCTTTACACTGCAGCCGGTCAAAATATAGTCTTTGGACTTCTAGGGGTTACATAATATACATTTACATACATTTGCCCCATCCAAATGGCCCATCCATGTAGATAACAATTCCACACATGGATGGTCTGGGACCTGTCTTTGACCAGCAAACATCTCGAGCTCCTTTTTTTCGTCTCTCTCTCTCTCCATGCATTTCGCGCGCATCCTTCGCAAGAGCCACGCACTCGTCTCTCAGTGCTTGGTGCTTGGTGCTTTCATGGGTCCCTGTGCGCCGAGCCTGATTGGAGGCCTGTTCCCGCCTGTTCCATGAACATTTGGAGGGCCAGGGCGAAGTAACCAACTGAATGTATTTAGGAACCAAAACATGAATCAGCCAAAACCACCTTGTAGCGATTATACAGTAATGAAAAACATGCCGCTGATATTTGGGGGCCCTTGAGCTCCACTATGGCAATTCACACGAATCGTCAGAAAACACTCCGAAAGTGGGATGGTCGACTGCAGCTGCAAAAGACATGATGGCCTTCTGGGGAAGACTCGCAGGGGTCGATCTGGTCATATCTGGTATCATATATACCGTATTTGACTGTTGAGTCGGAGGGTATCCCCTGCATGAATCAACCAACCAATAGCCATTCAAACAGTAAAAAGTCCATTCATGGCCGCGATAAATCTGTTTCACTGGCCGCTATTCACTTTTTGGACCTCCGCGCCCCATGTCTCCGCCCCGTGCGCACGAGGAACCTCCGGTCGCTCCGAGTGGAAAACGGCTCCCGCGGTTTGGGGAACCTGGATCTCCCCGCGGCGGCCCGATCGCCGCCATGCTTCTGAAGCCCGGCGAGGCTGCCCCCCAACATACACATTCCACATCGTTCCACACATGAATAAGACCGACATCACATGGAATCTGCTTGGTGATCGAATTCCATCAGGTATACCTCTAATACTTGGTACTTGGCGCTCTGTGAGATCCATCTGACAATATAGGCCTTGTTCGGTTCTTTCACGATGTTCTTAGCATCGAACGTGATGGGTTTAGGTGGTCTACCCTCCCTCCACTCACCTGGAGAGGTGGACCACCGAGGCCCAGATTCGGAGGGACCACCGGGGTTCTCTTTTGGACCGGACCATCCCTCCGGTCGCGGCGGATTCATGCGCCGCGTCAGAGGATCAACCGAGCACCTGGGCGGCACAAAAGAAGATGTCTTAGACCGGGGATCCCCAAGGGATAAATCTATAAACCACACAACTTGGGGGCCCCAGCACGTACCATCGAACCCGGTTGACCACTGGAACTTGGAGATCCATCACCCTCTGGACTATGGCCGTCCTAAAACCGCCCGACAGGTCCCGAACCAAACCCCAGGGCCCTAGGGCCCTGGTTCGGGTCCGGAACCCCCTCCATGAGGGTCCAGGGTCGCGCGTCTGGCCCGGTCGGACGTCCGGTTGGGGCGTGCGTGCTAGGACATGAGATGCTGGGATTTGCTTAAGGAACCCGGAGAAGCCAAAAACCACCAAAAACGCCTGCAGAACATTCACCCGTAGGGGACATGCAAACCATTGCAAACCATTCTAAGCAAACCAGGGCGAGTATAAGTATATATATATATGTACATGTCCCATGTGAACCTGTACAACACTACTACAATGATTGATTCGCATGACATACAGCACCTTGAGTTGTTCCCACCACCCTAGCCCACTTGGTGACGACAACATGAAGATCAATGACCTTGTCCTGTGTCAACCGGTCCAAACAATGATGAAACCTTGAGCTGTGAAATGATCTTTCAGAGATGGTTAGCTGAGTTGCTGGTGATCCAAACAAACTAGAACTAGACACCATTAGACACCAAGGGGTGGTATTTAGCTTGAATGGAGAATGGGCAACCCCACAATACCCAAAAGGTGGTTCATGTGGAACCCATATATATATATAAAGGACATCTTTGGGTTTGTGCCATCTACTGTGAATATTCAATACATAGCAAGGGGTTGGGGACTCCCTTAGCTACGGGCCCATGGGGAAGCACTGGAAATCCCCTTCATCGACCCGGCCATGTTCTTCGCCGCCCGCTACAACATACGCTACAACATACGCCGCTCAGCACCCATCACCCGGAACCACCGGAACCCCACCATCGCCGAGCCTCGCGCCGCCGAGCCACTCGAAGCCTCCGAACTGGCCTGCGAGTCCTGAGCCTCGGTCCCGGAGCCGCCCGGCGCGAGCGCCTCGGGCGCCGGCGCCGGGCCCGGCGCCAGCGCGTCGCTGTCGGGCGTGGCGTCTCCCAGCAGGGCTGCAGTGGCTGGAAGCACCTGGAGACCCGAAGAACGGGCGGAAACGCGGCGGTGCGTGACGAAGCCTCCAACAAGGAAGGTGCACGAGAACAACAATGTCTACTAAGTGTTCAAGTTCTATGTGAGTTCTGCTTGAATGTTGTTTGAAGGGACTTGGAGATGATTTCGAGAGTGCGGCTGCTACTAGCAAACCATGAGCTTTCATGGGGTGAACCGGGGGTGGCATATATACTTGGAGCCGACTTCAAGTACATTAGAAAATGGGACATGACCCCATAAAAACAGGTACGACTGTACCCATTTTCGGAGGTACGAACGGGTCGACTCCAGGTAGATATAGTTTGAAGGATCTATTTGTGGTGGCGCAGCTTCGGCTTCAGCTTCAGGCTTCAGGTCTCCAGCGCCAGCTGCTGGAGCCCAAGGCAGCTAAAGGTGGCCAAAGTTTCACCGGCCAAGAAAACATTCCCTAGGGCTCCTGGCCCACCACCTGAGGTTTGGTGGTTGGGGTGGGTGCCAGGGGGGTCTAACTACCGAACCTGAGGATGTGGGCCAGGAGCCCAAAAAATCAGATCGGGCGGTTTTCTTGTCTTTCTGGAACCCCCCCCTGAAGAGATACTTTCCATCCAAGAACTACCCGAAGTGGTAAATGACCAAAGAATTAAAGAATCCTAGACCTAGCATTCAAAGCAAAAACTGACCTGGTTTTGTGGCGCAAATTCCTCACAACATGTAAAACTGCATGAATTATCATGCATTCAATGGTGGGCCACGAGTCTAGGGCTGGCATAGTCCCATTTGACCTGGCATCCTCTCACAAAACGCAGATCTTCGTCCTCTAGCTTCTGTGAGCCCTGGTTGCATACACACCGTTGGATCTTCCAACTCTTCAATCTGTCTGCGCAACTTGGCAGGTTTGACGGATGAAAAAGGCAATGAATCTGCATACTTATATATTCATGCATAACTTATGCTTATACAGTATCACCTAAAACGTACTATGTTACGAATTATGATGCATTGTCATGCATTATTCTATTAAACATTGTAACCGAAACATATATAGTAAGCTGCAATCACTTAGAATATTCCCTAATGCCCACGTGGGCATTAGAGATTATTCTATATCTTTTGGGGAACACGTAGAATATTGTTTGGATATTTTTGGACGAGAAGCTGAAGAAAGACATGTCTGTTGTCAAGCTATGTGCATATCCAGAAACACCAGATGTCAATTGCACTCTCAGCGTGCCTTTGTGTTGCCACTACTGCTCCAAAGGGGAACATTGAATGCAACCTA